ATATTTACGATGATTAGTTTTCCTGTATTTTTTCCTTTGTTTGACAGTAATTACAAAGCTTTAAATTAATAAAGGATCGAGACCATAAATTGATAGGAGATGATCTGACAACTTCACGAATAGATACTTTTTCAAGAATGCTTTTAAGTTATGATCACATTTTGTTGTAATATTTTTGCCTACCATTCAAAAGTTAGACGTAAGTTACTAGTACTGGGAAGAAATTAGAGAACATATTTTTGTCTTCTGAGTCTGTTTACTCTGTGCACTGGAATAGCTCTGTTAAATAGTCCCTCGCTTTGTCGCCTTGGACTCAGTTTCCCATAGCATGTGTGGGCCATCTCCCCTGAGAGAGGGAGAAGTGGTGTTCTAAGGATTAACACACAGCCAGGCCGTAAACGCTCACAATGGCAGCATGTCAGATGTCAATTGCAGAGCGAAGCTTATCGTAAAATTGGCTTGTCTTCGTATTGAAACTCTTTACAACCCAATATTTAAAATCCGTTCTTGTACCACTCATCTGCCTTAGGCCCAATGCGGCTCCCTTGGAGTCAGTGGCAGCTGGGTTGCATCCCATAATCCTGAATTCAACCCTTTTGGATTGATTTCCCCACAGTGCTGACCTACCATCCACCTAGGACAGCTGTCTTGGCTGCACTGTTCGGGCCATTGTCTCTGGTTGCTGAGTCAGTCCACGAACCTGAGCCTCTGAGAGTAAGCAAAGGAGGCGCTGGCCTTTCGGAACGGCATCTAGAATGTATTTGTACGAGAATCCGTGCAGGTTCCCCGGGACTGATCAGACCTGGATACCTTTCCAAGATCCCCTTCCCAGGTCTCTCTGACTAGTGCTTCCCATGCTAAGGCTAGGGGCTCCTGAAAAATGACCCTGTGATATTTGTGTTTTGTTTCTTTGAATCCCAGTAGTCTCCGGTTCAGTTCTGCTTTATTTTCCATCAGCTTTGCAGAGGAAGGTCCAATGGAAGAGAGCGTCTCGGCGCCTTAGGGTTTCAGCTTCCCAGTGTTTGAAACCAACAAATGTTAGGCTTAAAAATGTCAGTCGGATCAGGGTTAAACAGTCACATGCCTCGTTCTGAGCTGCCACCCGGGGGTGACATGGGCGTCAGGGAGCCGCTTACCCAGTGCACTAAGGGATGGTTCTACCATCCACGCACCCCCTTCCCCGGAGCGCCACAGGAGACGAACCTCCGGGGCTGGTATTTCAGCAAGGGAATGACTAGGCCAGCGTGATCTGTCCTGCATGCGCCGGTCCCACGGTAATATGTGGCGCACGGTGCTCTGGGGGGTCTCCAGTTCTGCTCGCCGCATGACCCGCCGCGCCTGACATCACCGTTCACTTGCAAGCAAAGCCCCCTCCAGTGGACTTTGCAGGGAAACTCGTGGTCATTTAACAGGCTGCCACACAAGGGGTGCAGCCAGCGCCCGGCTGTGTCTCCGTGGGTCAGCAGCCGGGGCCGTTGCTTTCTCTGTGCTTCCCGGGGCGGGGAATGAACCCTCAGAGCTTGGTACCAGTGTAGCGCCTGACATCACCGTTCACTTGCAAGCAAAGCCCCCTCCAGTGGACTTTGCAGGGAAACTCGTGGTCATTTAACAGGCTGCCACACAAGGGGTGCAGCCAGCGCCCGGCTGTGTCTCCGTGGGTCAGCAGCCGGGGCCGTTGCTTTCTCTGTGCTTCCCGGGGCGGGGAATGAACCCTCAGAGCTTGGTACCAGTGTAGCAGAGACAAACACCGATTCTTCAGGCTCCGTAGGCCACTTCCCCTTGGCAATAACAGACAGTTGTTCTGGTCTTCATCTATTCGCCGCTGCTTCCTGAATGGTCTTGCAGCCCTGCCTTTCTGTAGCACCAGCCTGGGTCTCTGTTGTCTCCCTCTCCCTTGAGCAGGCCTAGGGAGGGAGATGGGCCAGTACGTGGGACTAGAGGCACAGCTGTTTGCAGATAGACGGACCCGGCTACCCCTCAAGTTAGGTGGGGGAGGGGTAACACCTTTCAGTGGACTGACTTCTGTTCAGGCCCAAGTGCAGCGTCCAGTGCGCACGGCGCTGTGCTGCGTACTGTCTCGTACCGGGTGTCCGCTCCTGGCTCGCTCTCCCCTTCAGAGCTGGGTTTCCTAAGAGAGGCTGCAGCTTAACTAAGGGTGGTTTTGTAATGTCCGGTGTGGGGGAAGCTTTGGGTGTTGCTCTAAACTCCGTTGTGGGAGCCAAGCACTTCTCTCCATCCAGGGAGGGTCGGTATTATTAGTGCCATCTGACCGATGGAGAAACTGAGGCACGCTGGTTGTGACTTTGGCAAGGGCTCCTAGGAAACGCTGTCACAGGACTGGGAGTCAAACCAAGGTTCTCTGATGGCCAGTCCTGTGCCTGCTGCAAGACGATCCTCCCTCCTGCTTGTGAAGCGCTTCACAAGTGCTGCTTAGACTGGTGTTTGCTAAGCAGGGGGAGAACGAAAAGCAGCAGGGGGGATGTGCTCCCACAAAGAGAGGGAGCAACCCCAATCCCCGGGTAGCAATTGGGCTTTCTTGGGGTGCCCTGGCCTCCCGGGGGTCGGGGAAAGCGAAGCCGTGCAGGGGTTGGTGTGTTCTCGGTGCAGAGGGAAACTCGCCTGCTGGTAACGCCTGTGAAAATCTGGGGAAACGTGAACCCCTCTGGGCACAATCGCTCCGGTGCTGTGTGAGCAGCTGGGACAGGGCAGCACCTTGGGAAGGGTCCGCGCGGCCCCTGGCTGGGTTGCACTGAAAGCATGTGACAGGCAGGCCCGTTCCACTGGCCGGGGTAACGTTACACGCGCACCAAGGGGAGCGGGCTATTTCTGGGGCTGGGCGGGGTGTAGGGTTTCTGACCAGCTGCGGAGAGTTGGATGGGACTCCGTCCAGCGAAATTGTTCACCGTTTAGTTGGCAACGTGTGCTGATCACTTGGCCCTCTTGGGAGAGAGCCCTCTGCCGGGCGTGCTCCTGGGCGGCGGGGCTAGATCCGGCGGGCGCGAGGACCCAGGGAGAAGGCCGGGCGCCGTGCGCACCGCTGCAGAACGCCAGATGCAGCCGGGGAGCTGGCGCCGGCCAATAAGGCGGCCAGGAGGGGGGTGGAACAACCCACTCGACAGATAGGGCCAGCGACACAAATTATTTGCATATTCATCATTTGCTTAATGAATATGCAAATAAATGTTACCAGTCCTCCAAAAGCTTGTGAATGGGTTTACTGGTCCCCAGTATGAAAAAGATTGGGAAGCACTGCCCTAAGCCAAGCCCGTGGCCTGCTCCCACGGCAGCGCTCCCCTCCGTGGATGGCATTGTGGAGACCAGCAGCTGTTTTTAACCCGCGCCCCTCTGCGCTGACGCGCGGATACCGACCCTGGGCTGTTTCCTCCCGCACAGGCTAGCCACGCAG